AATACATATAATGATAAATTAACTGTGGATTATTTCATTTACGTTGCGTTACGTGGCTTCCGTGTGGGTAGCTCGGTGTTTATTCCAAAATTAACAAAGTAGCTCAATACATTGAGAGGTTGGCGACCACTGGTTTAAACCATACTTTTAGCAGCTGTATTTCAAGAATGTTAAGATTAGCCAACACTCATAACGATCTTGAGATATTTAACACCCTCTTTCATAAATGTATGAAGCAATTACTTAGTACTGAGCTTTAATCTTTGATCTTTAATTTTTAATGTTTAAATATTTTATTCAACCTTATTGTCTTTTTAAATCTTTTAAATTCTTTATCTATTTCTGTCTATATATAATGAATTATACCACGATTGTATTTCAGCACAATATATATTTCACTACATTTTAATTATAATTTATTTCTCAAATGCTTGCCCGTAAATAAATAAATAAATAAATAAATATGCAGAACTTCGTCCGTCACATGTTACAATATCTTTATTTTTCTTGAGTTTCCAAAAAGGAAAATGCACCATTCAAATAATTGGAATAAATAAATTTACAGCAATGGTATAACAAATAGCTACTTTTTTGGAATGGGCCCGTTCACTTTCATTTTTGAATGTGAATTAATTATATATTTATAAAGATATTAAACTCTTTTGTCTGGTGGTACTTTTCCCGTTAAGATATTTTTGCTAGAAGTAAGGGAATTCCCATAAAATTCTTTCAGTGACTCATTGCGTCAGAAAATCCCTAATTCCGTTCACGTCTCGTAACGGTTATGCTTAAAGACGGCAAGGTTGTCGGAAGTATCCCTAATATAGCATTTCTGCATTTATATGTGTAATTTAAATAGTAAAATTCCATTATTTTTCTAAAAATCATGAACTTATATTTTCAGATTTAAAGCTGGGAGCTTATTTTTTACTTTTTAATTAAAACAATTATTATTACTCAGACTGAAAATTAACCAGACTATAATCAAAAAGTAGAAATTTGATTTGCAATATTTATCTGGTAAACGTGGCAACGTTGCATTTATTTCTAGAAGTGTGTGAAGACAACACTATTTAGAAGTACTTACAACGTTGTCACGTTTATCAGATACATTTTCTCAAATAAAATTTCGATCTGGTAATATTCAGCTTGAGTAATACTAATTGTTTTTATTAAAATTTAAAAAAGGTAAGGCTTCCAGCTTTATCTGAAAATATAAACACATTATTTTTAAAAAATAATATATTTTTATCATGTAAATTTCTTTAATAAATGCAGAAGAGGAATAGTGGTGCAATGATACATCCGACAACCGCGCCCTTTTAACTATTAACCGATACAAGACCTGAAGGGAATTAGGGGTTTTCTGACGCAATGAGTCACTGAAAGAATTTTATGGGAATTCCCTTACTTCTAGCAAAAATATCTTAACGGGAAAAGTACCACCAGACAAAAGAGTTTAATATCTTCATAAATATATAAATAATTCACATTCAAAAATGAAAGTGAACGGGCCCATTGCCAAACCCGGAGAAATATACCGAAGATCATCTGCCATTTTACTGATTGATGCTAGTGGAGATATTAGTTTCAAAAAGGCGTAGGGGTTGGAAGAGCACCGCTGTGGTAGAAGGATACATAGATAATTCATATAGAAATAAAATAAATACAGCCAATTAAATTGCAGACTCCATTCAGCAACCTCTTACCAGCATCATCCTCTGCATCGGTTAACACCGCTAAATTTCACGAACTGTTCCAATATAATAATAAATATTGGTTCATATAAAAATTTAATATAAGCGTTAAAACTGTATATATTGTCCACATAAATATAAGAAATATCGTTACTTAACTTTAATTTTCATAGTTTTTTAAGTACCTGCCTGTTTTCCATGTAGTTAACTAATTTATTTAACAATAAAAAATCTTTTAAAAACACTTACTTAGTTACTTGATCTTTTGCTAAAATCCCGACTCTTGCCTCCACTATATAAAATTTTTAGATTTTAAGATCACCCTAATGTATAATGGTATATAATAGTCGTGGACAAAGTATAGTCTTCAGCTCGCATAGAATAATAGCCATCATTCTATGCTCGTTGAAGAATATACTATTCTTTAATGGCTTTGTTTTATACAACTTAACTAAGTACACTCTGTATTTGGTTTTTTAAAAAAATTTATTTAATTTAAATTACAATTTTACTTATCAAGAACAGATTCTAAACTGAATATAATGAAAGGAAATACCCTACAACCGGTGGCATTGCACCTAAGGTGGAATGACACAAACTAATCTAACGTAATAGCCAGCAGTGCCAAGGTTAATCCACGAGGTTGCCGACTCAGGGTTATTATATAACTTACATGTACAGGTAGACCACGGGTTATAGACATTAATGGCTAATAACTTTATACTATAATCAAAGAGGTTAGAAAGGGTAGAGGTAACATAGGAAGCATTTGTCGCTGCGCGAATTTTGCCAAAACCGAAAAACTGGGTGGAAGGAGTAGGGAGATGTTCTGGGCCGGACTTAAATATTTGTATTGTAGTACCTAATTTTGGTGGGTAACTAAAAGATGAAAAATTATGAGACGTTTTTTTGACTTTATTTGTTAGCACGATTCATGTATGATGAGGGCAATAACACTTTATCAATATATAACTAGCTAAGGGCCGATTCCACCGTTGTGTCAAACGAAGTTTAAATTATTAAACGAAGATTAAAATGACATTGTTAATGTAAAAATGTCATTTTAAACTCCATTTAGTAATTTAAACTTCGTTTTTGTTAATATAAAAATGTCATTTTAATCTTCGTTTAGTATTTTAAACTTCGTTTAACAATACGGTGAAATCTACCCTAAGTAAAAGTTTATAAAATTATTGCAACAAAATAGCTGTTGAGACAAAAAGTTATCGAAACAGCCAAAGTACTTTTTGCTCGAATTACACACAAGATTTTTTCTACGATCACACCAAAATAAAATAAATAATTAATTTTTATTAGAAATGTGTTACCTTTTCGTTCGTTATAATATTTTAAGTTTATTTGACATAAGCCTAGTCTTTGAAGAGAAAAAAATGTTTTGGTACTTATATGCCGGTAATTATTTATGATTTAATTATTTCCAGAAAATACCGTTCAATGAATTAAAATATTAGGAAGTCAATTAATAGGTATTTATGTAACCAGTTACGAAATGCCTTATTTTGTGTAATGAGTAAATATTTGCGGGACGAGCGGAGCGAGGTCCCACAACATGAACGACTTACACAAAACGGCATTTTGTAACGTGTTTACATACAAGATTTTTTCTAATTTCGACTTGATTATTTATAAAATTGTGTTAAAAATGATTCACCATCATTCTTCTGTAAGTACTTCCAATCAGATATTTTAGAATTGTTTGTTGTATTTGATTGCTCTACGACGTTTTTTTTTAATAGTAATAATAAAAATAAGGGACATGTGCAGTGTTTCCGATCTAATTTTTGACATTACCCGCGAGAAATTTGAAAAAAAACATTTTTACTCATTATCCTTAAAGAACTACGTCAAAATTTTACCCCCAACATTTCTGGGCAATTTTCAATAACGGCGTTATTTTAAAAATAAAACGCAATTTACAGCTTTTCTTTTTTGTTGTTAAACGTAATGTCATATTTTCAAATGTGAAATGTCACTACTCATTGCCTTTTTTTCGATATATGGTTATTTCGATTTTTAGATTTTTCGATTACTCGATTTTCGATTTCTCGATTTCACGATTTTTTTCAACTTAAAAACCAAAAAAGAGGCAGTTTTATTTATTTTCATTTCGTAACTGGTGACATATTCAACTTTTCGTAATCATTTGCATAATGTTCTACTTTATGCAACTGGTTGCATAAAGTAGATCTTTTGACACTTGCTGCGATTACAAAATATATTACTTTATATGTCAAAATTAGAGAAAATAACAGAATGTAAATTAAATGGATAGTTCCCATATTAGCGAAATATTTGACGGAGACCTAAACACATAAAACACAATTTAAAAAATTTATTTCAAATTTTTCTTTATTTTGACTCTCATTTTGACTTTCAATAGGTAAACATGATAAAAAATCGGCTTTATATTATGCTCCGATTTCACATATTCAATTTTATAATTATAATTTGACAATATTACTGCCCATCTACGTAGCCTGTTGGCTGAAAATTGGGGTATACATTTAGCTGGGTTAAAAATAGTTACCAGAGGTAAGTGATCTGAAACTAGTATAAAGAAATGTCCATATAAATATTCATTAATTTTATTTAAGCCAAAAATTATTGCAAGGACCTCTCTTTCAATTTGGGAATATTTCTGTTCGGCCTTTGATAAGGTACGCGAAGCAGAAGCTACAGATTTCTCAATATTTTTTTCAAAAACATGACATCATGGCCCTTATTCCCACATTTGATGCATCTACGAATAATTTAATCGGCAACTCAGGCTAAAAATGCATAAGAGCATCATTTGTTGTTAATTTATTTTTGATTTATTCCAAAGATTTCTTGCAAGAATTATCCTAAATCCATTTCACCCATAAAAAATAAAATAAAAAAAGTCCTAAAGCAAAATCATATCCTCCTTCCCGTTAGTGACTTAAAAAAATTACTTCCCAAAAAACTATCCTTAAGCCAGGTCCCTCCATTTTGTGGCGATAGTACTGTTTTTTTTTTCATTGTGAATATTTTCTTCGCGGACCCCTCACAAAGGCTTTCGGAGCCCCAGGGCTCCGCGGAGCACACTTTGAGTAAGACTGTTATAGAGAATTACTAAATAAATAGTTTTGAGAAAACTATTGAAATCAGTTGTGAAGTTTGAAACGAATAAATTGGCAATAAAATTGATATTTTTGTATTTGATTGTATGTTTCTCTTTTCACTTCCTAAAAAAAGATCCCCCATGAAACAAGAAATAGTAAACAGTTTATAATAATAACCTTTATTTGCTACTTATAACATGTACCAATGACCAAGTTTGATTCTGCTTATTTTCAAATCAACAAATATGGACGTCGACATAATCCTTAAAAATTAAATATCTCACCGAAATAAATGTAAGTTTCTTTTATCTCCGTCACATTTCGCAGGTTTATTATAAATAAAGCTTTTTACAACACATATTGGCATTTTCAACGTTAATTTCCAAAATTTAAGTCAGTAAAATACCAAATTAATTCTCGTTGACACATTAAATTTGGATGGACAACGCTCTGACATGTGATGTTCTCAACTGTGATTGGTGGGTGTGAATCATTTCGAAATGGGATTATGCGCAGTGTCTTATGTTCCATCTAAGGTTTGTATAATCTAAGACTATAATATAGTTTTAATTTTATTTACAATTTTATTTTTTTACAATTTTACAATTTCCAGTCTTAAATGTCACTTTACATTAAGTCATTGCTTTATTATTTTCACTAAATTTTATTAACCTTATTATTTTTTATTAATTATAGTCTATTGTACAATATTTCTTTTAATGCATTAATAATGTTTCTTTTATTTTTTTTTTAATTGCGCACTTCCTTATTCCAATATCTTAATTTTTATATTTTAATCTGTCCATTACAATATTTACGAGCATCTTAAATTGTCCTGTTCTTGGGCGTTACTTTCCCTAGAAATGACACGGCGAGGTATGTAGTAGCATCCTTCGTGTCGTAGCAAAATGTATTACTTTATTTCCTTCTTTACTTTTGATTTTTTCCACTAGTGTGAATTATAAAATGTCACTGTAACTCATACTTTATTTTAAATTCTTGTAACAAATGTCACACTAATGGTTTTTCGTTTCTGTGCCTAATAAAATGTGTGTATATATCTTTTTTTCTTTTAAATCCTTTGGAGCAAACGTCACATTTAAATGGTTTTTCGTCAGTGTGAATTATTAAATGAGCGCGTAGATCTGATTTTCGTTTAAAATTTTTAGAACATTTGTCACAGTTAAATGGTTTTTCATCAGTGTGAATGATTTTTAAATGTCTCTGCAAAACAGATTTGCTTTTAAGTTCTTTGAAGCAAATGTCACACTTGAATGTTTTTTCGTCAGTGTGATCGTTTAAATGAAGGTTTATTTCCTCCATTGTTTTAAATCTTTTGGAACATATATCACATTTAAATGGATTTATATTAGTGTGCTCTATTAAATGTCGCTGTAACTGAATATTTCTTTTAAATTCTTTGAAACAAATGTCACACTTAAATGGGTTTATATTAGTGTGATCTATTAAATGTCCCTGTAACTGATTATTTCTTTTAAATTCTTTAAAACAAATGTCACACTTAAATGGCTTCTCATTAGTGTGAATGATTAAATGTGAGTTTAGATCTCTCTTACTAGTAAATTTTTTAGAGCAAATGTCACAATTAAATGGTTTATCATCAGTGTGAGTTTTTAAATGGTACAGCAAAGAATATTTATTTTTCAATTCTTTTAAGCAAATGTTACACTTGAATATGTTTTTATTAGTGTGCGATATTAAATGTTGCTTTAGGTTTTTATTCCCTTTAAATCCTTTGGAACAAATGTCACATTTAAATGGATATTCATCAGTGTGAATTTTTCTTGAATGTTTCCGCAAATAATATTTACTTTTAAATTCTTTAAAGCAAGTGTGACACTCCAGTGGGTTTTTATTAATGTGAGTGGTTAAATGTCGGATCATATATTTCTTTCTTTTAAATCCTTTGAAACATATATCACATTTAAATGGATTTTGATTAGTGTGAGTTATTAAATGATCTTGTAAACTATCTTTACGTTTAAATCCTTTGGAGCACATGTCACACTTAAATGGTTTTTCATTACAGTGAACTATTTTTAAATGTTTTAGTAAACTAGATTTAAGTTTCATTTCTTTGAAGCAGATGTCACATTTAAACTGTTCTTTACTAGTGTGACTTATTAAATGTTGATCTATGCTGGAAGAGCTCTTGACTTTTAAAGATACTTTCCTAGGTCTATTTTTAACTACATGTACAAAATAGTGTCGAAAAAATGCGATTTTGGTCATTAACTTTCCACAAAACTCGCAAGCCACGAAGTTTTTCCTAAAATGTCCAGCAACATGTTTTGATCTTGATTTAGAAGGGAAATCTGTAAATAAAAAAAATAACTTAAAAACAATATTCTTAATTTAAAAACAAGTATAATAATAATTTATTATTTACCATATAAAACAAAAAAATACAAAGTAGTAATTATTAAAATATGTACCTAATAAAGAGATAAAAACGTATGGTAAATAAGAGGTTAAAGTTAGATCATAGACTGATTCTGTCTTAATAACCTTCTAAAAAAAAAGAAAAAGAGATATTTAACTTTACCACCCTTATAACATAATCAACAAATACGTAAATAAAAAACAATATTCTATTTTAGAAGTAATAAATGAAGGAAAAACAAATTTAAAATTGTAGGTTTTATTTCATCAAACATAATATACATTTGAATGTTTAGTATTTTAATTAGTGCTATTTAGCGAACAAAAGTTTTTTTGAGGTGAAGCCTGTAACGAACCAAGGTACCACCCTGTATCTTATTTATATTTCGGTTTGATTTATATTTCATTTTTCAGTTTCAAGATGACACTACCGGTACTATTTCTGGAATCTCCTGTCTAGTACTCTGTAGTTCGATTGCTCGGGTTCCTTTTTAGTTGTCTAGATGGCACGCTAGGTACCGTTTAACGCTTATTCGAGTTTTTACACTATTTTGGAAAAAACTCGTAATTCGCACATTTATCGCGACTGATTTTGATTCTGAATACCTCTGGTGCGTGAATTACTTTTCGAAGATTGTGTTCATACCTGTATTTAGGTAAGTTATATTTTTATTAACTAATTGTTGTTTGAGTAAGAATACTTCCTTCGCATTATTTTGGTAATTTTTTGTCGTTTATTAAACTATGAGCTGTTTGTAAGCCGCGGCTTTATATCTGACACACCTTTTCTTATTTTATTTAGAGTTAATAAATCGAACAAAGCGCCGTCGGAGTTTTCTTTCCTACTTCCTGGCCGAACCCGCAACCTGCCACTTTGTGTTAAGTAAGTGGTTTTGCAACAAGCCCAACAAAATTAAACAACAGTGCCAATTTACCAGTTGGCAAACTCACATTGTTGATATTCACATATACTTTGTTTTTTTTTTTTTTGGGTTAACGTTGGCATCGGAATGACTCAATCTGCCACAGAATATTTAGTGTTTATTAATATTTTAATATTCTTCTAACTATGGTAGCTTACTATGGATGGAAATGGTATAAAATTACTTTAAATGTTTATGTTAGAAAACTAACTGATAAAAAACGTTTCTTACTTTATGGTTCAACCTAGTAGAATGGGTGGCTAGTATACGTGCCCCCCTTGACCTAACGAACAGTGCCAATACACCAGTTGAATAGCTAACTATTAAATTTCACAGTCTAGATTTGCGTAGATTCGTGAGCATAAATAACCCAAAACTATCCGATACGTCCCTGTATATTTCTAAAATATCGATTTTTATAATTTGTAATTGAACTATTTCGTGTTAATCGAACATGTAACCAAAATGCTCAATTTTAAAGGAAAATGAGCATGTAAATATTCGTTTATGTCTAGGAATAGTTATTATATTTTTGGTTCTTAGTTATAAGTTAGTAAAATAGTATTAATATTGTTATTAAAAATTTTTAATCGTAGAAGAAACAAAGATAATTTGAAATACCGTTAGTAATTCGAAATACTTGCATACTTGTCACACTAGTAGCGCCAGCTAATCAAAAATAGGTACTAGCTACTAGTTGTGCGATTGTGACGTATCTGAAGCTAACAGGAGTTTACAGGTTTCAATTTAGTAGTGACCATATATATCTTCAGTAAAAGTGGAAAACCTCGTATACGTATCTTACATAATTTTAGACAAAATAGAAAAAACCTTCTAAATTTTGATGAAAGTTTTTTCGATTTTTGTTTCATTTATATTTTTCAAAGTCGCATAAAGGTTTTGTGCAACAATTTTTTTTCTGTACATACGAGAACTTGTATTTAAAGTTTTTAACTTGGATTCAGTTAATTAAAATATTGTATTAGATTAAAAAGTACGTAGTAAGGTAAACTGTTTTGAATACAGGTGAGAAGAAGGTCAATAATAAATAGAGAGATTATGATTAAAATTTATTCATATTTTCTACAGTAAGATACAATTAAATATTATTCTATGATTAGAAATTAAAATTACACAAAGTTAAAGGTAAACATTTTTCTGTTACAACTATATGAACATTATTATCAATAAATAAATTGACACCACTGAAGATAAGAATCTGATCTTCGCAAAATAGAAGGGAAGGGTGTACTGAGCACACCTTTCATTTATTTTTAGCCATACTAAGCCGCGCTCAATATCAGCACGACCGAGAACTTTTTAATTGTTTTAATGATTTATTTTTATTACGACAGCATCTCAGTAAATTCATAGAAATTCAAAGAAATTCATAGAAATTCATAGAAATTCATAGAAATTCATAGAAATTCATAGAAATTCATAGAAATTCATAGAAATTCATAGAAATTCATAGAAATTCATAGAAATTCATAGAAATTCATAGAAATTCATAGAAATTCATAGAAATTCATAGAAATTCATAGAAATTCATAGAAATTCACAGAAATTCACAGAAATTTATAGAAATTCATAGACATTCATAGAAATTCATAGAAATTTATAGAAATTCATAGACCTTCATAGACATTCATAGAAATTCATAGAAACTCATAGAAATTCATAGAAATTCATAGAAATTCATAGAAATTCATAGAAATTCATAGAAATTCATAGAAATTCATAGAAATTCATAGAAATTCATAGAAATTCATAGAAATTCATAGAAATTCATAGAAATTCATAGAAATTCATAGAAATTCATAGAAATTCATAGAAATTCATAGAAATTCATAGAAATTCATAGAAATTCATAGAAATTCATAGAAATTCACAGAAATTTATAGAAATTCATAGAAAGTAATAGAAATTCATAGAAATATATAGAAATTCATAGAACTTCATAGAAATTCATATAAATTCATAGAAATATATAGAAATTCGTAGAAATTCATAGAAGTTTATATACATTCATAGAAATTCATATAAATTAATAGATATTAATAGAAATTCATAGAAATTCATATAAATTCATAGAAATTAATAGAAATTCATAGAAATTTATAGAAATTCATAGAAATTTATAGAAATTTATAGAAATTTATAGAAATTTATAGAAATTTATAGAAATTTATAGAAATTTATAGAAATTTATAGAAATTTATAGAAATTTATAGAAATTTATAGAAATTTATAGAAATTTATAGAAATTTATAGAAATTTATAGAAATTTATAGAAATTTATAGAAATTTATAGAAATTTATAGAAATTTATAGAAATTTATAGAAATTCACAGAAATTCATAGAAATTAATAGAAATTCGTAGAAATTCGTAGAAATTCATAGAAATTCATAGAAATTCATAGAAATTTATAAAAATTCATAGAAATTCTGTATTGCGGGTGCGATTCCCTTAATTCCAGCTTTTCTGATTAAATAAATAAAAATACTAATTATTATTAATCGTATTTGCTTTATGAAATTATAAATATTGAATTGAAATTAATAAATATTAAAATGGCATTACGCAATACTATTTTGCGGAATTAATAATCGATTGTGTATTGAAATGGAGTGATTTAAACGAAGTTGATCTTTGAGTTCTCTGCATGACGTCATGCTCTTATATGGCCCATTAAATTACTGAGATGCTATCGTATTGAGATATTAAGACAATAAGACTAAATAAATAAAACAATTAAAGTCTGTAGCTTAGGATGACTAGCAACAAAAGTCGAGGGGGTGCTCCAAAGCACATCCTTCTCTTCTCAAAATTTAAATTATATAATATATTTTTTTTCTCTTTTTACTTTTGATTATTTACTTACACTAATATGGTTCATTGGTGTGAATTTTTAAATGTTCCTGTAAGGTCCATTTTCGTTTAAACCCATTAGAACAAATGTCACAGCTAAATGGTGTTTCACTAGTGTGAGTTATAAAATGTCGCCGCAGCTCATAATTTCTTTTAAATTCTGTGGAACAAATATCACACTTAAATGGCTTTTCATTAGTGTGAATGACTAAATGTGGGATTAAATAGCTCTTTCTTTTAAATTCTTTGAAGCAAATTTCACAACTAAATGGTTTTTTATCAGTGTGAATTTTTAAATGTTCCTGCAAAATATGTTTAGTTTTCAATTCTTTAAAGCAAATGTCACACTTTAATTTTTTACCGTTAGTGTGAGTGGATAAATGTCGCTTTAACTCATAATTTTTTTTAAATTCTTTGGAGCAAATGTAACACTTTGTTACATCATCGTTATTGTGTCTGAATAAATGTCGCTTTAATTCATAATTTCTTTTAAAATTTTTGGAACAAATGTCACACTTAAATGGCTTTTCATTAGTGTGAATGACTGAATGTGGGATTAAATCTCTCTTTCTTTTAAATGTTTTTAAGCAAATTTCACAATTAAATGGTTTTTCATTAGTGTGAACTTTTAAATGTTCCAATAAACTGAATTTATTTTTCAATTCTTTGTAACATATATTACATTTAATTGGTTTTTCATTAAAGTGAGTTGTTTGTAAATGTCTACGTAAACTATTTTTATATTTAATTTCTTTGAAGCAGATGCCACATTTAAACGGTTCTTTATTAGTGTGACTTATAAAATGTTGATGTATGCTGGAAGAGCTCTTGATTTTTAAAGATACTTTTCTTGCTCTATTTCTAACTACATGGATAAAGTAGTGTCGAAAAAAATTAATTTTAGTCATGAATTTTCCACAAAACCGACAAATCACGAAGCTTTTTCCAAAATGTCCTTCGATATGTGTCCATCTTGATTTAGAAGAAGGGAAATCTGTAAATAAAAAAAATACGCACATTTTAAAAACATATATTGACATTTCTATTGGAAAACACACCTGTAAAATTTGAAATCAGTAACCAATTTCAAAATTTAAAATGTTTATTTTAATTTTTAGGGTATAATACCATACTTTT